ACGCTAATGCAATCGCTTTTCCAATTCCTTTCGAACCCCCTGCAAGATGTAGTACAAGCATTTCACTATTAAATTTCAAAACAGTCCTGGCCGCTTTAAAGCATCAGTGGACACTTTATTAGCTGCTCCCCTATCACTGACCTGTGATAAAGGCATGTTTTCCTCGAAGCGACAATGACCTTTTTGGAGGTAATGAAATGTAAACAAGAGTTAACAGCAAAACATAAAAGAGTACGAATCCCAGCACCAAACATAATATGCAGAGACAAATGACGTCCATATCAGCTTTTTCGAACTTCCGTCATCTGAAAGTAGCAAATTCTGTCGAAGAATGTCATAACCAGCTAATTTAAAACAACTTACTCTCTCAAGCAACCGAGGTACTGGCAATCTTTTGCCACAAGGCAACAATTAACATTATCCTTCAGGTAAGCCATAAAAAACAGCCTTTATTAAAGGAAATGCAGACGCGATTTCGATGGTCCCGTTGCCATATTTACGAGAACTCGGAAAATTCCAGACCTATCATGTAACTTGCTTTATAAAACTTGTCTTGACGTTGAAAGCGCTGCAAGAGAGCAGAAGGAGAGGAGTGGAGCTTGCTTTCTCTACAGGCGCTAATATAACTGCCCTTGTGACGTTTTTCACACACACACACACACACACACAGGTCGAACGAAGCCGTGTTGTTTTCGGCCATGCTTATCAGTAACTTCACAATGAATCATGCAAAATATATTCTAGTGGATGCGAAAATCAGCTAAAGGGTGCAAAAGTGCGCTGAGAGGACTTCGGCCCGCCAAATTTATTTCATAAATTAACTCAAAAACTGACACAAATAAAATGGAAAAGTTGGTTTGGACGAATTCAGCGGAAGTCAACGAGTTATTCTGGTCGAATTTAGCAACATACACCAAAGTAGCAGCAAAGATGGAAAACTAACCGCAATGAAATGCACAGCAACAGCGTTGCCAAAGTGCTGGCCGTGAAGTGAAAGCGCTGACCAGACGAGATTGGCATCGGATGCCCGGACAATCAGTGAGCCTTTCTGAGCAGTCTCGTCAAAATCACCGAGGGTATAGCTCGGCGCTGCCAAGCCTAATATGTTGCGAAGTGCTTCAGCAACGAGCACTTCAAAATCCCGTCCAGTAAATCTGCTTCTCGTTGATTCTGATAATTCGCATTCCCTGCAGCCCAAAGAAATAAAGGAAGAATGGGGAACTCACTGCGATTGGGAATGGAAGAAGCTCAGTCAGTGATCAGACCACTCCAAAAAGCCCCAACGTTGGTTAAGAAATGCAGGACAGCACAAAGCAGCAAAAAGATGGATCCGCAGCAAAAAAAGATTCGGATTCAAAAAGAAAAATTCGAATTAAAAGGTACTATTTTGGCCAAAAAATGTTTCTTTAGTCAAGAAGCACCACGAATCGGGTGAGCCTTCTTTTCTGTGAGAAAATGAGTGCGCCAGTACAGTGGTAAGTTAGCAAACCAATGGCAAGCTACTTCCATTTTTGGTTACAACTAACCACAGATACTCGAAAGTACCGTTAGCGAGAATGGATGGAGGCCGTACAGTGATAATAAAGCTGAATAAACGTGTGCAGCCGATACGCTAAAAATTGGACACAAACTGACAGATACATATGAAAATCTAAGCCAATGTATAAATGCTGAGCAGGTTAAATATCAACTTGCTGCGCGCTCGGGAAGCCGAAAGCATCGA